CTTTTGCCGCTGAGCTAAATCCCCAGCCCCTGAGCTAAATCCCCAGCCCCTTAAAGACTTTATTTTGAAAAAAATTTTTGTTTTGTTTTTTAAATTTTTTTTTGGCTTTTGGTTTATTTATTTATTTATTTATTTATTTATTTATTTATTTATTGTCTTTTTGAGACAGAGTCTCGCTGTGCAGTTCAGGCCAGCTGTGAGCTTACTTTGTAGCCCACGCTGGTCTCGAACTCACAACTATCCGCCTGCCTCAGCCTCCCGAGTGCTGGGATTACAGGCGTGCGCCACCACGCCCGGCTTGGCTTCTGTTTTTTGATGTCCCGGGTTTTAAATGTTTGTGTGGTGAAATCTCTTCATTTTTTCCTCCCTTTCCTGATTTCTTTATCTGTGTGCTTAAGAAAGCGTGTTTTACTTTTCTGTCACAAAGTCAGACATTCTGGGTTTTTAAATTTTCTCTCTTTGCTTTTAATCCTTTCATAGAACTCTTAAAACATGTATTAAAAATCTAACATAATTCTCCTTGACCGGCACAAGTAATTGTTCAGGTTTATTTTTATTGAATAACCCTCTTTCCCATCACTTGGCTCTTACTTTTTTTTTTTAATTTTAAAGAGGAAAAAGCTCAAATTTCAAAACAAGATAACAGGAGGGTAACAAGTTAATACATTGCATATAACAATATCTTAAAATTAGTTACCTTTAAATTAGTTACTCAGACTATAAGATATCAGCACTTAATTGTCCAGACAATATTAGCACAGGGCTGGGGATGTAGCTCAGCAGCACAAGTGCCTGCCTAGCAAGCGCAAGGTCCTGAGTTTGATTCACGGTACCAAAAAAGAAAAAAAAAAAGAGAGACAATATTAGCACAAACCTTTCTTTTCAATGAACTAAGAGAGATTAGTAGTATAACTATCTGAACTATTTTGTATGTACATATATATATTTAAATATATATATTTGCTTCTACTTTTAACCCAAATTACTGTATGGATTAGGAGCTTAGCTGGGCCCCATTCTGTTTTGCATGATGATTCTCATGCCAGGAACACATATGAATCATCAGTCTTTTTTTTGTCTTTTTAAGACAGGGCCTCACTATGCAGTTCAGGCTGGCCTTGAACTCACTTTGTAGCCCAGGCTGGTCTTGAACTCACAACAATCCTCCTGCCTCAGCCTCCCTAGCGCTGGGATTACAGGCCTGCGCCACCACGACCGGCTACGTCTTGCATTCCTAAACTGCCTTTTAGACGTATAATTACCAATGAGCCAATACTGATTCATCATCCTCTAAAGTCTACACTTTATTCAGCTCTCTTTAATTTCTCTGTAGTTTGTTTTGTTTTATTTTTGAGACAGGGTCTCACTACGTCACCCGGGCTGGCCTTGAACTCTCAGTGATCGTCCTGTCTCAGCCTCCTGTGTGCTGGGATTCCCAGCATGCGCCATCAGACCTGGCCTTTAGTTAGTTTTTGGGCTAATGCT